TCCAACCAGTCTATATCCTTCTGATGTTGAGGGCTCCACAGCTGGACACAGTACTCCATGTGGACATTCCAGGTGGACTTCCAGGTCCACATGCTGTGAGGCACAGAAAGCTAGGGAGATGGCCACCACGTTTGTTGATTGGTACAAAAGCAGATTTTGCTTTTGTGTAGCTACTGTTGTACCGTTATGTTTTGTACTAGTCTGCATTCCTAAAGATTAGGAACAGCCCTATAACCTCATTGCTACTGACTCCCTTATTTGTGTATCTGCTGTCTTTTCCTCCCTACTTTTTATCTCAACTTTTTTTTCCCTTCAACAGACATGTGCTCTCTCCTTTCTGACCTGAAAACCTCTTCCACTTTTCTCTCATACCCACTCTCCCTTTCCACCTCTCCAAAATACTTTCCACCGTACAACTGCTGAAAGTTCTATTTTCCATACACCCACATTCTGTAAATATACAGAACCTATCTGCTCCCTTTTGTGGTTACAGTACTGGTTACAGTACTTTTTAACATTTAAAAACTAATTCATAAGCATTTGGTACTTACTAAACTAGTAATTTTTTTTTTTTTTTTTTCATTAGCCAAGTCATAGCAGTAATTTTTTTTTTTTTTTTTCACTTAGCCAAGTCATAGAATCATAGAATAGTGTCACAGGATGGTTTGCAGTGGAAAGGACCTTAAAGACCATCCAGTTCCAACCCCCCTGCCATGGGCAGGGACACCTTCCACTAGACCAGGTTGCCACTGGCTGTCTACATTTTTGTCAATAATTCACAATATCAGTTCAAAAATCAACTGAGGAGAAATAGTGAGATGAGGAAATGTAATAAATTTAGGCTAATTATTTTCATATGAAGTGTAATGCAACTAACTGTGGTGTTGACTATGTAATATTGACTATGTAATTGAGTACTTGTGCCTGCATCAAGAGTTTTCTGGAAGTTGTAATCAAGTTGCTGGTAGAGTTGACAGTTGCTAAAAATGGTGCTCAGTGTATGCAGAAACTACCGTTTGTGCAGTTACACATCTCTGTTCTTGCTCCAGTCTAATTTTTATTCTGTTTTTGGAATATTTACTCTTAAATGTGTGTCTCTTTCTTCTGGCTTTTTTTGACGATATGCAGAAATGTAACGTTTCTGATACTAAAAGACTAAAGATTATTAAATCCTTTGTAGGAGAAGCAGTGTCAGAATGGGAATTTCCTCAGCTGCCTGCTCACTTGTCAGAGTATCGTCGAGACACCTTGCTTATTCAGCCTGAGGTACATCTGCAATAACTACTTAATTCCAGTTTGGTTTGAAAAAAAAAAACACCACCAAAACAAGAGAACTAGCTCTAAATTTAACTCTGTGCAAATTCTCAAGTGGTTTTGCCACTGATCTTAATATATTGTGTATTCAGTCTGCCTAAGTTATAGAATAACCTGGAAGTGACCTCTGGAGGCTAAATTCAGAGGTAGGTGAGGTTCCCAGGCTCTTGACCTGTCAAATCTTGAGTATCTCCAAGGGACAGAGGTTCTCTCACCTCACTGATGGACTTGTAGTAGGAGGCAGGCTTGCCCTGGCTGCGGCCCCTGCTGTTACCGCTCCTCCTTTTGCTGTGCATTGCTAAGAGGAGTTGAGCTCGCCTTTCTGCTACCACCCATTAAGAGAGTAGAAGACAGCACAGTCTTCTGCCCCTCCATCCTCACAGTTAGCCCTCTCTGTGAGCAAACCAACCTCCCTTTTCTGTATAAGCATCACTTCGTAGATCATGTGTGCCAGCTCCCTAACCATCTCAATGTGTCATACCTCTTGCAGGGCACTTTTCCTTATATGCTGTGTAAAACTTACTCTTCTTTTTTTCCTAACAGGATATTGTGGAAAAATCACATATGTCTGGAAGCATGTTTAATTTATACCTTCACCAGAACTATGTAGACTTTTTTTTTGATGTAGATGATATAGTGAGAGCCAGTGACTATTTGAGCACCGCTGATGTCCTTTGTGGTAATTGGAGCGTAAGTGTCATCTTTTTATGCACGTGTACTTTTTTTTTTTAAATGCTCTGACATTGAGCTTCTAGACTGTTCTCTAAGTGTTTCTGAATGTTTACTTCAAACAGGTGATACTGAATTGTTAATGAACACTAAAGTACATCGACTATAGAAGAGAAAGAGGTCCAACTTCTGTCAATATTTTATTACAGTGGATTATAGTGTTTGTAAAAATACTTTGTATAATATTCTAAGTAGAACATATTTATGCTAAAAATGTGTTTGAGTCTGTCTTTTCCCTGAATTAATTCAGCTTTTTTTTTTTCTATTCAGCTGCTTTGAGTAAGTTTCACAGGAATCTAAATATATTCCTGGCCTCCCCTGTCACTGCAATTAGGGTCTGTGTTAGTTCACTGCGATACACTGTACAGAGACCTTGAGCTCACGTAATGCTCCATTTCTCTCTTAGACACGGCCTGTGATGGAAAAATACAGTGCATCTGTGGCTACCCGAGGGGTGATACATTCAAATACATCCAGAGCCTTTGCCCACCACCAAGGAGGCATGGGGTTCCGGCCTTTACATAAACCCCAGTGGTTTTTTATCAATAAGAAGGTAAATGCTTGATTGATTAATTGTTTGTGGATTTTTTGGGTAAGGTATGACAGACGAATAGTATAGATGAAATTTTCTCACATTGCTAAACTTGTGAAATGTCTTGTTTAGATACAAGCTACTTCTAAAAAGCACCTGCTTACATTTTTATTATTCCTTTAATGGAAAAATAAATTGGAAGCCTCTGACAAGGTCTGATTCCTGTGTCCAAATTGGCATACTGTTGGGAGAGTCTTAATCCTAAATTGATGGAGACACAGTTAGTGTTGAAAATACTATAAATTATTCCTAAAAGTAAGTTTAAGTTTTTGAGCAGTTTAAATCACATTAAACTGTTGTTAAGTTTAACAAATTACTGCTGTTATGTTTTATCTGTTTATTAGAAGTAGCTGGTTCGTGAGACACCCAAGTTCTTGCCAGTTTTTTTGCATTTGACCTAGTACTTCCTTTGCCCTATCTGGCAAAAAATGGCCTGAATGGGTGGGAAATCCTATAATCAAGGAATAAATATTTTCTGGAAATTTTAATGCTCAGCAAAAGGCACAAATGAAGGAATTTACTGTTTTTATGATCAGTACATGTTAACTCTTAACAGCCTATCTTTTCTGGTCTCGTTTTACAGTAGCTTGTGCATAGTCAGCCAGCAGGCAAAATGAAAGTCTGTCTCTTTATGGTACAGAATATCTACATTAATAATGATTTACCACGTTTTTTTTAACTTGTGTTTCTTTTTCCTCCAACTCCTACAGTATCAAGAAAATTGCCTTGCTGCAAAATCTCTCTTTTCAAGCTTCTGTTTACCACCTGAGTGTCTTCAGACAGAGCTGTTGCCTTATCTTGCTATGTTAGCAAATCCAATGAGAAACCAAGGTAAGATGGGTGTAACTCGATCTTGGACTCTTTTGCAATTAAAGCATACTGAAAAATTTTGTAACCCAAAATGTCAGTGCACTCTCTGCTTTTGCCTAAGTAAAAAAAATACTTGAGGTAAATGCCTGTAGCTGATAACCCAAAAATGTTTCTGGTAACACAGCCAAAATTAAAGTTGTCCTGTTAAGTTCGAAACAGCATCAAGAACGTTTTTAAAACGTGTGTAACCGAAATAATTAAAGCAAGTATCTTTCTTGGCAGAAGCGAGGTGTACATGACGCTTTAAAAATGTGCAAGACAGGGTCCTCGTTTTGGAGTTATCTGAAATTTTTTTTAACTGTATGGATTTCTGCTCTCTGTATACTTCCAGTGTCGTCAGTCTCTCAGCCTCTTAGGGTCCTTGCACAGCTTTTCTGTCTGCTCACATCGTTACTAGCCAGTTTAACTGGGTGGCATTGGCAAAATTGCTCATCTGGCTCTTCACCCCCTTTTTTCACAGGGTTATGTTTAAGAATGTACCGGATAGCCCAGGTCCTAGCACAGATTGCTGCAGAAATGTATTGGCAACTTTTGTCCATTGCAAGAGTTAACCCCTCTCACCACTTCCCATTCATTAATTGTTTATCAAACTTTACTAATTAAGTGTTCTCTTAGGCTTAGGGATTCTTTTAAAAGCCTTTACTAGAGCATTTATTGAGACGACTTTTGGAAACCTAGTAGACAGTATGAACTAGATCTTCGTTGCTTATTGGTCCCTTTCCAGTTACATCGACAGACTTTAAAAGGCTTTAAAAAGCCAATCCCAGGTGAAGTAAACAAAATCCAAGTTTGTGCTGCATTAAATAGTGTAACCTGAGGCAATCCAATAGTGGACAGGTCAAGCAGAAAAAATAACTTTGGTTACGGTACCTCACCCAAAAATTACTATTTAGCCAGGTGGATCACTTATGCTGTGTTAATTACTTCTAGTAACAGGCATCATGTCTTAACTGATGCCTTGACATCAGGATGAATTCATTTTGTAGGCTGTGGAATAATGATTCTGCATCATAAATACACAGTTGATGGTGTGTCAGGGTGTTTTTTGTGTGTAGTCAAACTGTAAATATGTTATGGTAATGTAGTAAACAGTTTGGGGGGAAAAAACCCCAAACAAACCCCAACATGAAAAAACCCCATACGTGTGCATGCACTGTTTTGGTACCCAAAATATTAAATACATACAGGATTGCTTGACTAAACTTAGTAATTATTTATTTTCCAGTATGTTTCATTGTATGTGCATTGTGATTTGCTCAATCTGATACTGGTGATTCTTTGTTCTCAGCTCAGATTGCTTTTATCCAAGACGTTGGGAGGCTACCACTGAAGAGACATTTTGAGAGGTAAACTTGCCTTCTGTCTTCTCTTAAAGAAAGTAAGACTTTCTTTCTTTCTTAATATATTGAGGAAAAGACCCCTTTTGTAGAGAAACATCTTACAGGTACATCCGTGATGTGACATTTTCCCTCACTTGTGGTGTGGTTATTTTATATTTTGCCTGTTAACATTTTCCAGTTCCAGTCTGTTTACCATTCCAATATCAGTAGCAACGTTTCTGCTACAGTCTTGCTTTTGATCCTTCTTCAGCTTTCTTTCCCATTGTAGCAAACATGAGCTCTGTCCTAGAGCTCTGTGTTTCTCCAGTGCATGAGTTGAATAAAAGTTTTTACAGACAAAAGCACTTATGTGAGAATAAAACTGAATTGATCAAAGAGCATAGTGCGCTTTCCCTGTTGTTTATCATGATATAAAACTAATATGGAAGCTTGATAGAACGTTCTCTGTTCACGTGTGTGTTGGAGATGTACTGTCTAATGCTCCGTGGGCTGTGGTCAGTCAGGCAATTGTTAGCAGCTCGTATACTCGAGGGAAAGTAAGCAAAGCCACTGTCACCATAAGGGGGAAACCTGAAGCAACGGCGGGTGCTGGGGAGTGGCCAGGGCACAAGCAGAGCGAGGCGTTTTGCTGTTGCTGTGTTTCGAGGCTACGCAGGGTGGTCTCTTCCCTGAGAGAAACTCCGGTGTCTTCTGCAGGCTGTCACCTCTGTACGCGTTGAGCTCTGGGCGCAGGCATCTGTACCGGGAAGACGTGCGCGGAGCTCTGAAAACGTCGCGCTGTAAGCACAGAATGTGTGCAGCCTGAATTCACTGCGTTTGAGGGATGGCATTACTGCCAGAAAACGTGAAAGCCGTTCAGCCGAGACGGGTGACCCCCGCCTGTGCAGCACGCGGGCAGTGTTTTCTGTTGCAGCTTCCATGTGAGAGAGCAGGAGAGGGGTGGGGTTGTTCTTCTGTGGTAACTTACTGTTGTAATGATAACTTCACAGGCTAAAGCTTGAAATGCTTACTGACAAAGATCCTGGGATACCGGACGTATTTCTTACCTCTGAGGGGGACGAGGCCGATGTGCATGCTGTGGGGACAGCTCTACCAGTGAAGAAAAACAGGACGAATGAGAATCAATCAGATGGATTCCCTCTCTCTTCTAGCCAGTGCAGTGGAAGTGAACTGCCTTGCAGTCAGCCTCAGCCTGTTGCAGCTCAAGCGATTATGGAGGAAGATGAATTAAAAATAGAGGAATATGATAGTGACTGAGTACCAAAAAAATCAACCGCTGACCTGCCTGAACAGATCCATGGGCTTCAAAGGCCTTTGCTGAAGTGAGTGTGGTCTGCCCAAAAGTAGTGCTTTCACTGTTTACGTGGGCTAGGAGGCCAAGCCTAAACATGCGGTGTGGCATCAGGACAGGTCTCCTTGGCTTCCTCTCAACTTGGCAGGATCAGACCTGAGCTGAATACAAAAGTACAGGCGATTCCCTGCCTCTCCTGAGCCATGAAACAATCTATAAAACCAGAATAATAAATGGTGACTGATACTAGTTTCAAACAGACTGTAGGTAAACAGCGTGACAATTAAGTTATTTTTATACACGCTTTAATTTGCTTTGCAGTTGTACAGTAGGTCCCCTGAGTATGCCGTGGGTAAGTTGTTAGCATTTCAAGGTTTTATTAAAGCATACCTTCAAAAAAGTTTGGAAGCTTGGCCCTTCTGAAAGATGAGACTAGTGTACGTGTAAAGGGTTTGATGCCCTATACTGATGATGTAAATAAAACTCCTACTGTATTAATACTGTGTTCTACTCTGCCACAGATTTTCATGTGTTTGTTATTTTGGATCCTTTTTTGAAAAGGTATTTTTCATAACTTGAGGGGAAAACAGACCGGTTGAGTGTAATTCCTTCTCGTCCTTTACTCATGTTGTAGTGTGCTGTTTTTCTCCAACTGCAGTTGTGCTGGGGGAAAGAAGAATCCCATGTTTGGCAACCAGCACGTGAGAAGCGTCTGAACAGACCGTGTCAGACTTCAGCATTTCACTGCAATGGGGGTTGGTCCGTGCAATGAATCTGATATGTTGCCTTGGACAGGGAGGAAATCAGACCAAAGATGCATTTCTGTACTGCTTACATCCAGAGTTTAGTAGAAGAAAATATGTGTTTATCCACCGTAACCTTGGAATTGATGCTGCTGTTAAAAAGTCCAGATTTGTCTTCTCTCAGGGGGCAGGTGTAGTCTTTCCACTATAGCTACTGTTTAATTTTGAAGAGGGAAATTTCTCCCGTAATTCCGTTATAGCTGTACAGATTAGAGTCAAGTCTCACTGTTTTTTTTGGCCGTTGATGCCCCATTACACCTCTCCCCCTCTCCAGGGTGCTTTGGGTGGGCTTGACCCCTGCTCAGCCTGCGTGGTAGCTCACTTGGGCCTCCTGCAGTGGAGTGTCCCTGAAATGCCATCTGACCCCTCCTGTGCTCCCGGGGGACCTCTGGTGCAAATGACAGTAAGGCATGAAATACTGTTTTGTTTTTTTTTTTTTTTTTTTAAAAAACTTCACAAGTGAAACTCCAAGCTACTTCTTTGTATCTTTTCAGCTTTCCTTGCAGCAGTATCGGGTAATAATAGTAATTCACATCAACTCCTTAGCGTTACTGTTGGCCTTGCCCTTTCGTGGTCAGCATTCAACACTCTCCCCTGCTTAACTGTACGTTGTATTAGAAGAGACTTAGCACTATCAGCTCCAGCTTCCACAGCAATTTCTGTAAAACCTCTTTCACGTGAAAACGCCACCCAAAAAAAAGGGCATTTATTCTCTTCAATAATCTGTTGCGCTCGAATGTCTGCGAAAGGATGGCTCTTGGAAGCAGTGCCATCATGGAATAGGTTTGTTCTGAGAACTGCAAGCAGGGTAATGTCAGCCACTGTGGATTATAGAGGAGAAGGCAAGGTAAATCAGCTCTTACGGTGTTCAGCAGCCGCTTTAGCCGGGGTAGTACTGGCACTTAGTCCTGCTGTGATGGCATTATGTATACATGGCTGAACTCAGCCAAAAAAACTGCCCCTCTACTCTGCTCTGGTGAGACTCCACCTGGAGTGCTGTGTCCAGCTGTGGAGCCCTCAACATCAGAAGGATATTGACCGGTTGGAGCGAGTCCAGAGGAGGCCACGAAGATGCTCAGAGGGCTGGAGCACCTCTGCTATGGGGACAGGCTGAGAGAGTTGGGCTGGTTCAGCCTGGAGAAGAGAAGGCTCTGGGGAGACCTTAGAGCACCTTCCAGTACCTGAAGGGGCTACAAGGAAGCTGGGGGGGACTTTTTACAAGGGCCTGTAGTGACAGGACAAGGGGTAACGGGTTTAAATTGAAAGTGGGGAGGTTTAGATTAGCTATCAGGAAGAAATTCTTCACAGACAGTGTGGTGAAGCCCTGGAACAGGTTTCCCAGAGAAGCTGTGGATGCCCCATCCGTGGAAGTGTTCAAGGCCAGGCTGGATGAGGCTTTGAGCAACCTGGTCTAGTGCAAGGTGTCCCTGCCCATGGCAGGGGGGTTGGAACTGGATGATCTTTAAGGTCCCTTCCAACCCAAACCATTCTGTGATTCTGTGAACAGGATGGAAGCCCCAAACTTGCAGTGCTGGTCGTCACCCTGTCAAAGCCAAATTGTGGTTAAGTCAAACCCCAGGTGAGCCGAAGGGAAGTGCTGACTGCTTGTGTTGCTGCCACCAGGCACAAGAACACCTGTCAGTGCTACAGCCCACTCTCCTCTCTAGGGACTGGCAGGGTCTGTTTTGGGTCCCTCAGCAATGCTATTACAGGGCAGGGAAAATAAGAGAACCGCCCTTCAGACAGGAGCAATTTCGGAGCATCCCAAGAAGGAAAAGTACAGGTATCTTTTGGTGTGCTCAAAGAAAAGTCAGCAGCTCCGACAGCCTTTGGGAAATGCCCGTGGCTCCTGCTTGAACCCATCCAACATGCCGTCTCCAGCTGTGGCTGTAAGTGAGGGTGTGTTCAGTGCAGATGGTGCATCACTGACATCTGTGCGAGGCAGAGCCCACGCGGTGCTGGGTGCACCCGCCTGCACCAAAGCCAGCCCTCGTCCAGCTGGGAGGACACACCTTCGGTTGTCATGGCCTTCTTGGGCTTCCCCTCCTCTGAGGAACAATTGTTCGGAAGCACGTTTTTCACCTTGTCTAACAGCAGAGTTCTCCATAGATGAACAGAAAGAATCTGCAAACCGGGCCTGAAAGGTCACCCTTGTCAGCAAATGCCACTGTTGGATGTCGTGTTGTGTGGGGTGGTCAAGAGGAATCACCTCTTGATCCAGCTCACCGTGAGTAGTTCTCTTCTACCCCCTGTCAACAACACCTGTTACTGGCATTGGCTGCCCGACCTCCTCGCTCTTGTGCAGTCTCGGTTTCAAACGGATGCCAGAGGGGAGCCGGCCTGGCGCAGCACAAGTACGTGTAGTCTATGCTGCCTGCTAGCACATCCGTGCCCAAGGTTGCACGACCACATCCTCCAGGGCAGGAGCTCTCGAACTGGAGTTGGATCCAGTACGTTTTCACACTGAAGAGGCCTTGGACGCAAACACAAGGAAACGCTTCTCCCTTCGTAGGCAAAGGTACAGGGAACTCCCTGCCTGTGTATTAGCAAAAGAGCTGGTGAAACCACTGGCAGTATCAGGATGCTAGAAAAATGGTTAAAAAATGTGACAAAAAAATTCTTACTGCTTTGGCAAAGTTTTCGAGAGATATGAGAAGTTACCAGGTAAGGAGAATTGATTTCTGTTCTGTCTTCTACGACCTCCTCTGAGGATATTGAACTTAAAATGGGGAAAATTAGGCAGATCTTTCCACTTGGGTGGTTGTTGGTTTTTTTTTTTTTTTACGTTTTAGCCCCTTCCCCCCCTTTGTGTTTGGAGCAAGCACTAACTGGGAGTACAGGTGTGCAGAGCATCTGACACAATGAGATCTAGGACTCAGTTTTGGTCTCTGTGTCCTGGCAGCAGCTACCCCGGCACCTACTGAGCAGCACGCACGGAGCTACAGGCAGACTGCTCCTTTGCCAAACACACATTGCCAATCCAAGTAATTTAATGAGCCAAGGATCTTCAAGAAACTGACAAGTTAATGTAATGCAGGAGGAAACATCAGGGTTCAAGGCAGCAGCAGTGCTATTCTGTGTTTCCTCCATGAAAGCCTCTGGGAAGAAGAGGTAGAATTGCTAAACATCTCCATGTTGTGGTATGCAAGGTACAGCAACGGCTTCACATGTAACTTAGAAACCACATGAAGCTGAAGGTCAGTGTTCTAAAAACAAATCTCAGGCAAAACACTACTAATCACAGCCGAGCACAGCACCCTGCAAACGCCACCGCCAATTTCTAACACATACAGCAAAGACGAGAGCATGATACAGATCAAATCAACTAATACCATGACCCTCAACGGTGGTTATCTCACACCCTTTGAGACCCACCTTGGGAGCCAAAAAGGGCTGTGGTGGTCTAACCCCAGCCAGCATCCAAGTACCACACAGCTGCTCGCTTCACCTCCCCCACCCTCCAGAGGAGGAGGATCAGAGGAAAAGACAAGGAAACTTGTGGGCCAAGATAACAACTACTTAATAATTGTAAGTAAATTAAATATAATTATCATAATAATGCTAACAATACTAATAATATGTAATGAAAATAACGAAAATGAAAACCAATGGTACAACTGATCCCCACCCACAGACCAGCTAGGAGTCAGGGAAGGAGAGTAAGAGGGAGTCCACCCCTGGCCCAACCCCCAGCTTATATACTGAGCACAACATGTTATGGAGGGAAATACTCCTTTGGCCATTCTGGGTCAGCCATCCTGACCATGTCTTCTCCCACCTTCTTCTAATGAAAAAGCTGGGAACACCAGCTCAGCACCAGGAACGAAAAAACAACTTGGTACAAACATTCCTCAGCAACAACTGAAAATACCAGCATTATCAACACTCTTCAATGTGCAAATCCAAACCCTAGCTCACACAAACCCAAAACACAGCCTCATACTAGCTGCTGTGAAGAAAACCAACTCAGTCCCAACCAAAACCAGCACAGAAAGCCTAACACAACTTCTGTGTAGTGCACAGTGAAAAACGTACAGTTTGCTGATGCAGAGTCAGAGGAAGCGTGCAACCTGGAGACCAACTGGAGTTCATTTAATCAGGGAGGAAAGCAAGACCTATGTGTTAATTTTAAAAATGGACATTATAAAAGAAGGGCGGGAAGA